GGGGGGGGGGGGGCAAAAAGCCGAGCTTTGCATTCCGCTCCAGTCACGGCAGCCGGGGTTTGGACACTGCTGGGGGGTAGGGGCAGGGGGCTATAGGCTCTGGCCCTGGGGCACCTGTGGGAGGGGGAGCTGTGGGGGGGAGTGAGGGGCATCTGGGGTTGTGGGGGGCTGCAGGTTGAGAGTGAGGGGCCATGCTGAGAAAATGGGGTCATGCTGAGGAAAAGTTTGGGAAGCACTGATTTAAATGATATTTACATCCCTAATGCAAAGTGACACCAAAATAAAGTTTTCACACAGGTTTTCTTGAGAAACATTTGAAATAGGGAGCTATTGAAGGCCCAGCTGCTAGTAACCAATTCCATCCATTATGTTACCTTCACCTTCTGTCTATTCCCTAAAAGTAACTAGCAAACATATAATGTATACTTTCGCCACTAAAATAAAGCTTTATTACTTCATAAACCTTACACTGACTTGTTTCATTGATCAATGATTTTATGTCATCAATCAGTATTATATGTTTTATGTTATCAATTTATGTTATATGGGGAGTTCATTCCCAGCTACTTGTATGAAGGTGATAGTCTGGCTCTTTTATACAAAACATATCAATGGGAGACAAAAGAAAATGTGCATGTATCAAGAAGAAGTCAAGTCTGTATTTGGAAACATGGCCCATTTTATTTGAACTGAAAAGCATACATTACACAGTGCAAACAGTTCTTTGGTAAATTACTGATTACAATAAAAATAAGAAAGACTTTACTTAAGGTAACTTTTTAAAAAGTAAATAAATATGCACAATTAGCAACATATTACAGCAATATTCTCACAGTGGATACTGAGGAAATGGTCATCGAGCCACTGGCCACTGCTTCAGAAATGTTTAAATGGGTGCTGATTACACACACACTGAAATAAAAGTGAATTTAGACATTCCATAATTGCTTAGTATGTTTTCCTGTAGATGAAGCCATTTTTCCTGAATGTTTTATTACCAGCTGTTTAGTGGAAGATAATTCAAGTTAACAGTTTTCTAAACATGTCTCAAATCTTAAGCCCCTCTTAATATATTGAATGAGTAAATACTGAATGGTGAACAGATACTCACTTTATTCTGAAGGGGGAAAAAATCAGATACATGGTACTATTATATAATATTTAAATGAACACTCTTTTGCCATGATTGAATCCTGAGCATGTTTAATTAAAATATAATCAGGGATAAAAGATGGAAGTGGTAACCTATTGGATATATTACTGTCACTGGTTTATACAACCATACAGATACTTTAATCATGACACTGCTTTAGTTCACCAGCCTTACCTCTAGAGAATACCTGTTGTAGGGAACTGGAAGTTCCACCTTCATTGGGCTTGCAGGATGAGATATGTGGTACAGATTTTCATCAAAACCAAGCTACCAGCATATCGAAAACAAACTGAAAGAGGAATGGCGAGCCCTACAGGTCCTGATTATCAAAACAAGCTCGCCAAACACAATTTCTAAAAGTATTAAAATAGAAGGTTACCTAAGTCAAAACTTTATGTAAAAAATCAATTCAAATATTCTTAAACACGTAAGTTGTAGTACCACATGTATCTCTAACATACACCTTTGCTTAACACACCACTCATATGTACATATCACTCTTACTATGCCATGACAAAAGTCTCTCTAGTAAGCTTGTAATATACTGATATTGTCATAGTATGTAGATTATCAGATTATAAAACATTAAAGACCGTAATCATGGAAATTATGTGCCAAAATATTATAGTGGAACTTGCATGGTTGCTACAGATCATGCAAATTAAGCATTCAGTCTGCTTACATATTTTGAAAGGACTCACTTGGTTACTTTTGTGCAGATTCCATTAATCACCAAATCCCTGATCTTTAAATCCTAACAACTAATTTAGAAGTCACTGAACATAATAAACTTCAACAGGACTTGTGTTTGAATAAGCACTTCAGGACTGAGCCATATATTCTAAGTTAGGGATTTTTTGTGAAGAAGCACTATAAATGAAATACAAAACAAAACTGTAAAATGAGGTATGATAGTTGTCCTTCACTTAATATAATATATTCTTTGTAACAAGATGGAAAATTGGAGTGCTAAAAAGTACACAATTGGACACATGAACATCCACCTAGATTCTATAATGTTAAAAATGTAGTAAGCTGGAAAACAAAGTTAAATGGTGGATCAGAAAGTCGATATAAGGACTGAGCTAAAAATGTGTGTGTGTTAAATGAAACTGGAGAAACCCTAAAAACTGAAATACCTCTTCAGGCAGAAAATGAGTAGTCAATCCACAATTAATTATTAATGTTTCATTGTGCTGTTTTTTTCACAAACAGTGCCACAATATAGCAAAGAACCTATGATAATATGGAAAATTATTCAGTAGGTATCTTTGTATACAAAATGGTATGCAACTTGTTTTCAGGTTTTCAGAACAGGGCCAATACTAACTATGTATGTGAGCATGTCTGAGATTAAGAGAGACATGCGCACAAACTTGATTTTGGATGGTCATTTTACTATGATTTAAAATAAATGAATCACAATAGTAGCTAAGCATTTACATAGGTTTTGACAAAAATGGTTATGTTCATTTTAAGATTAAATGCTATGTAGTATGATTTATTTACTATTTCCTAAAGTGAGAAAAAAAACCACATTCAAGACACTGCCAATTTTTTTTGTTATGCATTCGATTTTTAATAGCTTTCTAGGAACACGGCATTTCCTTCCCTTGTAATTTCATTTTTTTTAAAATTTATCAAAAGATAATTACCTTTTTATTGTATTAAAAGAAAGTTCTTTAACTGCAAACTTTCTTTGGTGATATACAAAAATAACTGACTACAGAATCCAAATGTAGAAATGGGCAGATATTAACCCTATATTGGCCTTGTTCTGGGAACAGTGTTTATTCATATTTTATTTTACTTCTCCCTGTCAAATCTGAAAGTTTTAGAAGAGAAAGTGTAAAAAGTACTATTGAAGTCATTTCTCATAGATAGGAGATGGTGTACTAATGTCATGGTGTATTAATTTTAAGATAAATCAGTTTGGGTTCTCAACATTTGACAGTGTTCTTTTAGAAGTAGCACCAGTTTCAGTTTGACTAACCTGAGAAGTTTAATACAAAATTATTGACCTATCGGCTTCATTTCCCTTTCAATATTTTTTGCATTGTGATTATCTCTTTTATGGGCAAGGAACAAAACAACACATTGTCTCACACTATTACAGCACCTTTAGAAAGTCATCATGTAAATCCTGATTTCTTGCTGTCATTTTAAGCCTGTGGTTACCTGTAACTGCTATCAGCAGGCATTGATATGCTTGAAAAAGGATGCATCCTAAATTCTTAAAAGAAGTTTTATGGCTTCTTTCCCTTGCTAATAGTTTGCTTTAAACAGACTGGACAGCAAGCTCCTTTGACCTTTACTGGTGCAGCGCAGTCAGTTGGAGGACATGATTCTACAAAACAAGTAACCTGACCAACCTGGGGTAAGAAAAAAAAGGTAAGTTTAACACATTATTTAGCCAGATTTACAAAACAAAAAAAAATAGTGTGTTCAGAACCATTCTTTCTACTGAGATAAGTTCTGTATAATTTGTTGAGGGTTGTATGTTAAATTGGCTGTTAGAGGAAACTTTTGTAAATCTCTCTGAATAAACCATATATAAAATCAATTACATCTAAAATCAAAACTATTTCTCAGTATATTTACAGTGATGCTCAACCTATGGTGTACAGGCTGCATCTGGTCAATGGAGCCATGTCTTCCAGCCTGTGGGGCTCCAGAAATTTGGTGGCAGGAGAGTGGTGCCAGCATTAATTGCTGTGGCTCTGGTTCTGGGAGCCACAGCAATTAATGCTGCCACCATTCTTCTGCCAAACTTCTGAACTCATAGGGAGCACTGTGGGCCAGATGGCATGGCATGCAACGTCAGGTTTGTGGCAAGAGCTGGTGTGTGAGTTTGGGCCCGCAGTAGGATCCAGCCCAGGCGGTTGGGTCTCCAGCCAGGGCTGGTGCGCAGGGTTGGGTCTGCAGCTGGGACTGGCCCCTTGTGCTGGAGGGGACTCAAAAGACTGGCTTGCCAGTGAATCCTGCCACAGACCGACCTCATGCACCGGATCTGGCCTGTGGACTGGTCCCATGCCACTTACCTGGCCTGTTGGCCCGGATAAGTTGAGCACTATTGATATATTACATTATTCTTCCGTTCAAGAAAGGTAAAAATTGAAATGTCGATATTATAGTATACAAACTTTTATTAAATGATATACATTTAAGAAACTGCTTTTGAAAGAAGCTTATATTATACTGCATCATTCTTAATTGTACCTGACAATTTTGCAGGTATCAGCAAAACAGTGAATGGAAGTTATATATATTATATTATATTATAATTAATAAGTGTTTAAAGAGCATCTGTTTTCCTAAAAAAAATCCTTCAGATTTAAAAATGGAATAAAAATTGGGGGCATAAAATCAGCAGTTGAGATGCAAAAGCAAACCATGACATAACTTAAGCCCCGAAAGCCAATTTCAACATACTCACTTTGCATTCACACATTGTACAAGGGTCTCTTTTCCAGGTTTCATTGGTGGAATATGATTTACCCTTTTCATCAGTGCAGTCTGTTCTACTGAGACGTGATTCAAGTTTCTTTATCTGAAAACAGAAGGAATTAAAATTAGGCATCAAATCAAAATAAAGCTTTTCTTTTTTAAGATACTTTATATAGAGATAATACAAAAGGAACATTACTGAGCATCCTACTTACAACTTAGTTAATATATTCCTGAAATACTAAAAGGTTGAAGAGAGAAAATGGAAAGAATCTATGCAATAGAATACTACAGTTTTCTTACTGGAGATGTGATGGCATGAATCACATGACCATTTAAACAACTGACAAGTATGCAAAGAAATTCATAATTCTGTCTAAAGAAAAAGATTACAGTATTAGGCCATAGAATACTGAATGAATTGCTTCTTTATTGACAGCCGTCTCTTCTCCATCTTCCCTAACATTCATGCTTATTTGATGGTGCAAAGCAGCTGTAATATTGTCTGGCCTTTGGGATCATAACTAAAAGTGCACACATTTAATATGTCCAAAGCTCCTTTTATTGCATAAGGGCAGCAACTTGCCTAAAAGACAATCTCCATTCTGGAGGAATGGATATGCTGAAAATGGTAGGGCAGTTGGTATATCGAGGGTCTCCGGCGCCCAGGGGCCAATGCTTGCATTTGTGCCCACCCCCCTCCTAGGAACAATCTGAGCAGGGTGCAGGGCCCAAGGCAAATCAGCCTGTATGGGACCCTGCCTCCCACCCCACAGCACTTCCGCAGGTGAATTAGCAGTGCGGCACACTGCTGCAGGGGGAGGGGCGGCAGCTGGAATTTCCAGCCGGCCAAAGCAAGCCAAAACCCACCAGGTGGGCAAGCGGGTCATGCACAAAACGTGGGAGGCACCCCAGTCTCTCTAGCCAGAGCCCCCCCAAGCTGGCACCTGGGGGCCATAGCCCCCTCCCATGCTCCTCTCCCTGCTCTCGGTATGCCACTGTGGTAGGGATATGCCAGCCCATAGTATTTAATACTCTCTGTCACAGGGGCAGTAGGCTTCTGAAGGACAAAATACAGGATAGTTCTCTCTTCCTTTGTATTGCAGCAATGTATAAAAAAAAATCCTATTTTCAATAAAAAGTCCCATTTATTTATTACAAAAGATTAAATTATTCTCCCTACAGGACAGTTTAGCCTTTGAAATCCAGAAGACAATTTTTTAAAAGTTTTAGTTCTGTGCTTCAGGGCAGGGGGTAACAACCTGTGGCCCATGAAGGTAACCAATGTGGCACACGGGACTGATGGCATGGAGCTCTGAAGTATTGTCATCTTCCCTGCAGCACTCCCCTCCGATGCGGAGCTTGCTTCTTCATCTTGTCTGCATGTATCCTCACTGCAGAGAAGATGGGGATCAGCGGCAAGGGCAAGTAAAGGCAGCTGGCCATTCAAGGAGGCAGAGACTTGTGGCCTGCAATGAGAACGGGGTTGCAAAGAGCAACCCAAAGTAGCAAAAAGTTGCCAACCTCTGCTCTGGGAGGCAATGTAACTAAATCATATCGTGGCAACTCTGAAGAGATGACCAGCTGAAACAGTCACCACAAATAAAGCTTTTGGACTTTGGCAAAACTTAATGTCTGCCAGATGCATATGAGGTCAGATTAGGCAATCTGGTAATCTCTTCTGGCTGTAATTTCCATGAAGCTTGCTGCTAGTAAGAGTTTAAGTAAGTGTAAAAGTAATTGTTGATGCAAAATAGTCATCAACATTAAACCATAAAAGGACAAGAACTACTTGCAACCAGTTTCATTCCCAGGAAATCATGAAATGAGATCTCCACTCCCCTGAGAATACTTAGTTCACAGAGTCTAAGGAAAGAAAGGCCATTTATATAACACTAGCTCTCTTCCAAAGCAATTCTGTATGACAAATGAAGGGCTGGAACATCCCCTCTGTAGAAAGAATGGAAAGCCTAGGTCATCTGAACTTATTGTTTTGTCCTCCAGTTTAGAAATTGTCTACAGCTGTACAGTTCAGCTACAGATGCTCAAAAAGCTGAGAGACATTCATATCTTGAGTTTTGATTTAGAACTTAATATTTGGATAATAATTCTAGTTATTTCTAAAAAATGCCTCTGTGACAGGGAGCCAGAGGCTCCTGCTACTTTAAGTGGAAAGTGCAGCAGGCTAAGCATGCGGCAGCAGCAGAGGGCAGGCTGGCCATTGAGCAAAGGGCGGCCGAGGAGCCGCATGGCTGGAAGGGAAGGTGCTTAGAGATGCATAAGACCACTGCATAGAGCAAGGAGAACAGTCTGACCCTGGAGGCTGCAGGGGAAGGAACTCGTGGGGGAGGGAGAGACTTCAGAAAACTCAGCCCACGGACACCCAATCTACTCAGTGGAGCTGCATGGAGACAGCTAAAGGGGAAGTATGGCTTGGAGTGGGGGCACTCCACTCAATTTATAACCCTGAGTGGAGATAAATTTTAGCTTGGGAAGTGGATGGCTTATATTTGTGTTAGTTAGGTTTATTACCAAAGGAGTGGATTGTGGCTGTAGGGGAGGACTGGAAGCCACGCAAGGATGCCTGGGAGGCAATGTGGGTTCTGAGCCCATAGTGGGCAAGACAGGGGAATGCTAAGGGTCAAGTGGGCTAGGGCCTGCACCCCAAGGGTGAGACAAGAGTTAAGCAAAGGGCCAGAAGGGCCAGAGCCTGCACCTTACAGTTAATATAGGCGCTGGCTAAGGACCAAGGCAGCCAAAGCCTGCACCTTAAGGATGAGACAGGGCAGGTTAAGGGCCGAAAGGATCAAAGCTTGTACCTTAAGGAAGTGACAGGGCTGGAGCTGTGACTATGCCCCAAGAGAGTGAGGTACAACTGAGAAGAGGCATGGACTGAGAAGCAAGGCCAGAGCAAGTGTAGCAAAACCCCATTTTTTAATTTTAAAATGCATTCCCTCCCCTTCCTCGACCATTTCTGACTTTGTCTCTCCCTCTCTATTCCCTGTAGATAAGTATAAGTGAGCTAAGACATAGGATAAGCTTCGGCATTTTATTTTGGTAGCAAGTTGTATTTCTTTTGTTTTTCTTCTTCTTTATATTGTAAAATTATTATGTTTATATTGATTTTTACTGTTCTATATTACTGTTTTACTAGTACTATATGATTTAGGCCTACATATGTAAGTTAGCATAACTCATGTCAAGTTTCCATTTTGTTTGTCAAGTCTCCACCTTGTCCACATGCCCTGTTGTGTAACCTATGACTCATACTACCCCTCCTATGTAACTTGGTTCCTGAATGAATGGGGATGAATGAGGGTGCTGGAAAGACAATGGCAGTAGGTCTAAAAATAGCTCCCTCTGAATGACCAAACCATCAACACCAATACCTGGACCAATGACCCAGCCCTTGGAACCACCCTCAGCATTCAAGAAACAAAAGATGAGGCAACCCACCATTGTGCCA